ACTTGCAATGTTTGTTTGTTTGTTTTGAATTTCGCGCAAAGCTACACGAGGGCTATCTGCGCTAGCCGTCCCTAATTTAGCAGTGTAAGACTAGAGGGAAGGCAGCTAGTCACCACCACCCACCGCCAACTCTTCGGCTACTATTTTACCAACGAATAGTGGGATTGACCGTCACATTATAACGCCCCCACGGCTGAAAGGGCGAGCATGTTTGGTGTGACGGGGATTCGAACCCGCGACCCTCAGATTGTGAGTCGAGTGCCCTAACCACCTGGCCATGCCGGGCCCCTTTCAATGTTTGCGTTGTTTAATTACTCAGATATGTTATTCAAAAAAAAAAAACCAGTTAGTCTTAGGAACAACATTTTAAGTGATTCTTATTATTTTATAATCACTTTATGTATAAAACCGTTTCAAAATTGGTGGTCTAATAAATGTCATAGCTCTATTATAATCATCGAAATAGAAACGTTAAAGAAAAATCGTACATACGATAATAAAAATATAATAAAATTTAAATTTAATAACAAATAATGCGATGTACAGAATACACACCTTTAACTAAAAACTCTACAGCTTTAAATGGATAAAACTACATTTATTTAAAAAAGAATACGTACAACGTTCTGGCCACCGTCGGATACAGAATTACGTATTGTATACACGGTGGCGCTCTTGAAGTAAAACAACTAATTTTACTGTTAAAGCTTGAAAACAACATTGTTTTAGTTACAGACCCGATTAAATATGTTTTTAATTTGATGATAATTTTCTACAATTTCATTGACGTGAGTGTTTCTTTGTATGCTTTATAAAATACATTACAAGTGTGTGCGTAAGAATATCTGTACGTGAATTTTTATGAAAATGTAAATCAATGACACATAACGGTATTTCTATTGCTAAACTGAGAAGATAGGGTTAACTGATGAAGTCTTTACCGACATTTCTATTGCTAAACGGAGAAGATAGGGTTAACTGGTGTAGTCTTTAACGGCATTTCTATTGCTAAACTGAGAAGATAGGGTTAACTGATGAAGTCTTTACCGACATTTCTATTGCTAAACTGAGAAGATAGGGTTAACTGGTGTAGTCTTTAACGGCATTTCTATTGCTAAACGGAGAAGATAGGGTTAACTGATGAAGTATTTGATTAAATCTGTCCTTGTTTTGACGAAAATGATAAACATTTTATAAGACAGTAATGTGTGGTCCTTACTCTTGTTTGATGTGTGGTCCTTACTCTTGTTTGATGTGTGGTCCTTACTCTTGTTTGATGTGTGGTCCTTACTTTTGTTTGATGTTTAGTCCTTACTCTTGTTTGATGTGTGGTCCTTACTTTTGTTTGATGTTTAGTCCTTACTCTTGTTTCAATTCCTTTGTGTGATTTGTTTATTTGTTTTTGGAAATCCTCGCAAAGCTACTCAAGGGATATCTGCTCAATCTTAATTTCGAGTAATAGACTAGAGGGAAGTCAGCTAGTCAACACCACCCACCGTAACCCTTGGGCTATTTTTTTCAACAAAAAAGTGGACCATCATATTAGAACAGAGAATAAAGGGATTAGAACTCGCGACCCGCAGATTGCGAGTCGAGTGTCCTACAATCAGGCCATATATATATATAGAACTCGCGACCCACAGATTGCGAGTCGAGTGTCCTACAATCAGGCCATATATATATATATATATATGTATTTATATTTTAACTGAACATTATACAACCTGAGATTTAAGTAGAACTACTGTTATATAATACGCGTTCAACTTAGTGCAAGTGAATGTGTCAGTACTTTACAGCTCAATTCTCTCTCTCCAATAGATAGATTAAATTAACATCGAATCTTTATTTCATTCAGTATTAAGTAATACAGACTTTAAATAACTAATGCGTTACATCAAGCTCTTCAAGCAAAATTCACCATTCATTGTTAATAAATTTTCATTGTCTCGTGTAGTTTGTGAAGCTAATTTTGGCACCTATTGTTTTGATATCTCTTCTACAATATTATTCTATAAAATATACGGTAACAACTCATAAATTATACGTGTTATATAATTACTTTCTGTCAGTAACCCCCGAGATATGAGCTTGTATCAGTAACGATATATAATTTATATGAAGTAATAACTTCCTGCTTGTTTTTTTTTTTTATTAAATTTGAAGTAGAACATGCCGGTCGCATTGCCTTCACCCTTTATACCAGTTTACTTTCAGTACTTCAACATCAGACGGAAAAACGTGTTTTACAGGGGGTAGTCGTCGTTATCCTGTTCTCGAGATAGCGGAGTGGCAAGTTGTGTAACAGGAACTGTGTATAGTGGGTTGATTTTAGTAAAATGTAGTTATATAAACACAAAGTCTTGTTTATCGTTGGCTTGACTGACATATGGGTTCTCTGAATTAATGGCTCAGGTTTTTAGGTCATTTTTATTTTATCTGTCGGTGCCCTTGTTACCAGTCGTTTGATTGCTTGTTTTGCAATACACACAAACACCACTCTCCGATTCGAGCAGCTCTTTACTTGCACGTATGGAGAATAAACTGATAGGATTAAGTACTTCTGATGTTATTTTTAACTTTTGTTAGCACAACTTAAGTTAAATGTCAGATTAGGAAAATGTTTTCTAATGAGCTGTCCATCTTGGACTTTTCTTTAATTTACGCAATAGCAAAGCCGATTTGTGGCAATGCTTTTCTTGTCCATTTCACACTTACAGTCTGGTATATGTAGTCACGTACCTTAAAAATGCATTCAAGTATCTTCATTATGTTGACCTATGACCTATGAGTGCAAAATTGTTAGTATTTTTAACAAGGAGAAATCGCCAGAATCACTCTCTATGAAACTGTTACTCCTTCTCATATGTTACACATACCTGTTTATGTTTGTTATATTTATTAGTAGCACGATTCTACTCAGAAATGGCATCAGGTTTATCGCCTTCGTCAGTATTTATGAAGGTGTTCTTTCTTCACCAGTCTTTATTTTTTTCCTGAAGTCTTCAAGAAGATTATCGTCTTCATTAGTCTTTATCATATTTCTGCAGTCTTCATTACTCTTTGCCAGCTTCCTGCAGTATTCATGAATGTTTCTTCTTCATCAGTCTTTATCATTTTTCTACAGTCCTCGCTACTCGATGTTGGCTTCCTACAGTCCTCGCTACTCTGTGTTAGGCTTCCTACAGTCCTCGCTA